GCCGACCACTGCTCTAAACCATTTCTTTTAAATCTAGAAGCTAATGCCTCTGAACATCATCACCTGTAACTTCTGACTCCTCTTATTACAGGAATGGGATCTCTCATGCTTGGAATCTCTCATGCTGGGCATGCACTTAAACCCCCCTCCTTTGTTCTGAATCTCTCCTAGAACTGGAGTTAAATTTCAAACTATGTCAGTGGGTACCATAATCTGATTCAAAATAAAACCCCACTCCAATCTAAACATTCTTGAATACTGGGTCTGAGATAACTCACTGACCTACATTCAGAAGTAAGTTTTAAAACTGGTAATCGTAGGCTATCTGAATGAGATCATATGATAATCATTTTTGTACTCCCCAATGCCTGGAACATTTAGCAAGCAATCTAAAAAATTTTTTTCATGGACATAGTTATGACTTAGGCTTCTTAATAACAAGTTGAGTATGGAACAAAGTTAGCTTGTCCTATATAATAAAAGGCTACTATGCAAATCGACCAAACGGCGGAATGACCAGTCGCTATGACACACACTAACCACCAGATGCTCAATGCAGAAGGTACTTCTTCCAGGCCCTGTAATAAACTTCCTTATTTCAGTTTTAAAAAATATATTATCATTTGGGACAGCATGGATGGACCTAGAGGGTATTATGCTAAATGTAATAAGTCAGTAAAAGAATGGCAAATATCATACGATTTTACTTATGTGTGAAATTTAAAGAACAAACAAAACAGAAACAGACTCATAGGTATAGAGAACAGACTAACGGTTGGCATAGGGGAGGGGTGTTGGGGGTGAAGGGAATGAGAAGTGTAGATTGGTAGTTACATAATAGTCATGAGGATGTAAAGTACAGCATAGGAGTCCTGGCCGGTGTAGATCAGTTGGTTGAATGTCATCCCATGCACCTAGAGGTCGCAGGTTCGATTCCCAGTAGGGGCTCATACCTGGATTGTGGGCTTAATCCCCAGTAGGGGGCATGCAGGAGCCAGCCAATTGATGCTTCTCTCTCATCAGTGTTCCTCTCTCTCCTTCTCCCTTCCCTTCTCTCTCTAAAATCAATAAAGACATTTAAAAAAAAACAACATACAGCATAGGAAATATAGTCAATAATCCTATCTAATAAAGAAGGACTATGCTAATTGACCATCACGCCATCACAAAGATGGCGACGCCCACGGCCAATAAGGAGGGAATATGCTAATTGACTACCACACCCTCAAAGATAGCGGCGCCCACAGCCACAAGATGGCAGCACCCAGTCCCCTCAGCTCCTCATTTTTTGGAGTCTTTTTTCTTTTTCCTGATCTGATTGGGTGTTTTCTGCTTCCTTGTATTCCAAATTGCTGATTTGATTTTCTACTTCGTCTAATCTACTGTTGATTTCCTGTACTTTATTCTTCATTTCAGTTAGTGTTATTCCTCCTTTCTGACTGGTTCTTTTTTTTATGGTTTCCATGTCCTTTTATATGCTGTGTGGTTCTCACTAAGTTTCTTGAGCATCCTTATAACCACTGTTTTGAAATCTGTATCTGGTACTTTGCTTGCCTCCATTTCATTTAGTTCTTTTTCTGGAGATTTCTCCAGTTTTTTCATTTGGACCTGTTTCTTTGTCTCTGCATTTTGGCTGCCTCTGTTTATTTCTGTGTATTAGGTAGCGATGTTCCATCTCCCAATCTTGGTAGAGTGGCCGTAGAAGGTGTCCTGCAAGGCCCAGTGGTGCAGCCCCTCCTCCCCAGTCACCTGAGCTGGGCACTCTAGGTACACAACCTCCCCCCCACCCCTGTGTAGGCTATGTGCAATGTCATGTTGTAGTTGAGCCTTGATTGCTATTGGCATGTCACTGGGAGGAACTGCCCACCCCCCAGGCCAACTGGCTGTGAGGACTGGGTGCAACCACAGTGGAGGAGCTACCGTGCAAGGGCCAAACCTACTGAGCGGGATTTGCTTCAGTGGGGCTTTGATGCCCACCAAGTCTATCCCTTGAGTGTGTCACTCACGGAGGTGGTAGGATGTGGTCTGAAGCTGTCCACTGAGTGCTCTGGCTCTGGGGCCTCACAGAAGGTGCAAGATCAGCCAATGCCTGGGGGCCACCTGGCATAAGCCAGAGAGCAATCTGCAGATGGCTGCTACTTGTGCCGGGCTTAGAGGTGCCCAGGAGAGGCCAAACTGTGAACCAAGGCCGGCTGCTGCTACTGCTGAGCCTGGGGTGACTTAGCATGAGGTATGGGCATGCATGAATCAAGATCGGTCATTTGTATGAAAAATCCACTAGAAACGGCTTGGGCAGGCCTGCCAGTTGGGTGGGCGGGATCTCAGGGAAATCACCAGTGTTAGCCAGATTGATGGAGATTCAGATTTGACGCCTGCCTATGGACTCTGTAGGGGGAGGGCTCAGCAAAGGAGCAATGGCTTCTGTCAGCACTTCTGTCTGGGAGCACGATGCCCCTCCAGTCTTTGCCTTGAAATCAAACAATTCAATTCTTCCTCTGGTATCCTTGGCAACTTCAAACTCCTAACCTAGCACTGGAGCTCAGAGTGAGTGAGTCAGAGTAAGTCCATGTGTAGGCCCTTTAAGAGGGACTGCTGGGACTCCAGAGCCCTCCATCTCACTCAACAACACTCACTGCTGGTTTTAACAGTCAGAATTTATGGGAACATGTCTTCCCAGCACTGGAACCCTAGGCTGGGGGTTCTTATATGGGGCTAGGACGACCCCTTGCTCCTGGAGGGGACCTCTGTAGCTGAGATATCCTTCTTGATTTTAACCACCACATATGAGTGTGGGGGTGACCAGCCCACCTGCATCTCCACTTCTCCTACCAGTCTCGATGTGGCTTCTTCTATTTATCCTCAGTTTTAGAACTTCTGTTCAGCTAGATTTCAGGTAGTTATGAATGATGGTCATTCGGTAATTTAGTTGTAATTTTGATGAGGCTGTGGGAGGTTACAAATAATGCCTTTACCTACACCACCATCTTGACCAGAACTCTGTCACACAGAAATTAAAAGAGAAAAGAAAACTATTACATTTTTAAAGAGAAGCCAAACACTCAAAATTTTTGTGAAATCTCCCCTACTTTTAAAATACTGTAGGCCAAATCAAAAACATCTTCAGACAATCTGTACTTTTTTGTTTCCTGGAAGAATTAGTTAGAAATTCAGTCTACAGATATTAGCACATGCCTTTAGCACAGTAGGGACTCAATGAAGACTTGTTAGATGAACAGATACATCTGAGATTACAAGATAATTCAGGTGTTAAGGAGAAACTTAATACAACAATTGTCCAAAATATTTGCATCATGTTTAAAGGAGAAATTAAAAAAGACTGGTGACACCATCTCTGTAGCCTGCTTTTAGCTTTCAATGAATATAGTTGAGAATTCAGAGCTTTTCATTTTCTGCCTCTAACAGCAAACAGAAGAAAATTAAGAGGAAGATGATTCACAATTAGATAATCAGATGAATGCAGAGACAGAAAGCAGCACTCTATATTCTTATATTTCTAGAGATAAAAAGAAAATATTGTATTTTCATCAGGTAGTCATTTATCAGGAAGGGCACTGTCACACAATATTTTGCCACACAATATTTTGTCACACAATATAAGAATACAGACCACCACATTCCACTAAATGTACATGTGACGGTATTCTTTCATCTTTTACGATATTTGCATGCCAAAATCTACTTGATACAAAGAGGTTTGCTACCCTGAAATTCTAATTTAAATTCCTAAAGGTTTGTTACTATCTTTTACTCTTACTTCTGTATATTATTCATAAAAATGACAATAAAATCTGAATATTCACTGTATCCATGTGATAAATGGTGATTTTTCCAACCTGCTAGAGATTCAACATCAATTTTCCTCATCCTACCTCCAATTCTCACCCTCTTGAAGGATGCTACACTACTTATACAATTTAAAGTAACAACAATGTATTTAATTGGCTAAATTTTTATAACTAATGTTGGTTTTCTACAAAAAAATGTTTTAATTATTCATGTTATATTTTATATAGTTACACAATATAACTACATTTCAGCTTGCTTCTTTCATTCAAAAATATAAATATTTTAAGTTAAAATTTACATCTTGGCTTAAATAATTACTGTAGAATCCCTCCCACAGTAACAATTAGCATTCCAGATTACCTATCTAACCATTAACAGAAATCACCAAAATACCCTGAGATCTCATTACAGAGGTCACATGAGACTTATAACTACTCCCATATGGTTGAAAATGATAAGTTATTTAAAATAAAAAAAAAAAGTAAACTGGTCAATTAGCACAGCGGGTTAGAGTACTGTCCCAATATGCCAACAGTGCAAACTCAATCTTCCCAATCATGGCACATACAAGAATTAACCAATAAATGCATAAATAAGTGGAACAACAAATCAATCAATCTCCCCCCCTTCCTCTCTCTAAAATCAATCAATCAATCAATCAATCAAAAAATGTTAAAGAAAGCATTCACAGAAAAGCATCATTTAGTCTTAGTTTTGGAACAAAATTATTCCTGAGTACTGATTATGACACTACCCTGATTTATAAATGTTGACCTCACCATGTGATTTTTAAATGGCCCTAATTTCTTGGACTAGAAGGAACATTTTATTCCCGTGAACATAACATAATATGGTCCTAAATCAGCCCAAATTCTTTCACCCTTTAGGCTAGAAACACTAGATAGGTGTGGTTCTCCCAATCTCAGGCCCCCGCTTTTTTTAATTTTCTGTCTGGAAAATCTTATGTACTTTAATCTACCCACTCCCCTTGCTATATTATATTCTCTTTGTGCCCTTAGAAGTACTGTATGTTCTAATTGTGTTTTTTTGTGTGCACAAAAACAAGTAGAAAAACAGAGAAATAAATTAATGTTAAAAATTTTCCAGGAGGATTCTACTTCACCAAGCAAGGTACTGCTTACCCTGTAATTAATTTTAATATTGTAGCAGGAAAGACTTTTTCCTTTATGTTTTAATCTGGGGACAAGAAAAAAATCTAGTAATAGAACGTCAACATTAATTTGAGGGGAGATGAAAAATGACTTAATAACACTGCAGCAGGATTAATATTGTACAATAGATCATAGAGCCATAAAACTCTTGACAAATTCATTTTTGTATCACTGTATATTGTTGCTAATAGGGCAGGGCATATCTGAAAGGCTGTTAATACCTTACTGTACAAATGCCAATCCAATTGCACTGCAAGGGTATAGTGTACTTTGCAGGAGATGGGAGAAAAGAGAAATTTCCTCACCCATCTGCAGTTTGCATTTAAATGCAACATGGGGAAGAATAAGGGCAGAGTGATTTCAAGCAGGAAGTTAATGTTTGCTTGAAATCAAGTAGTCCAATTCAGAAAATGAGTTGATAGTTACCAGGATATTTGCTTCCACTTCAAGACCATCTAGCCAAGGAATAGAGAGTGGAAAATATATCAGCAAATGACACAAGACAAATTTTATCCCAAACAGCTATCCAAACAAAATGTCAAGCCAAAAGACCAAATAGGGGAATCTTAACTTGACACAAAAGCTACCAAATCCTTAAACAAAAAAAGAAGCTATCAGATCTTTACACTACAAATAACTACTTCGAGCTAAGATTAAGACTAGTAGGAACTGAATTTATCCTCCTGCCTGAAAAAAATAACAAAATTTTTAAAAACAGAAAAAATAATATAAAAACAGAAAAAATATAATATTAAACATCTTAATAGAAAGTATCTTAAATACTATGAACATCTGGCAAAAAAAAAAAAAAAGGACAGTGAATCCTGAGACATGGGACATAAAGGAGACAAGCCCTATGGAGTTTCCAAGCCCTGGAACAGGAAAGGGAAAGTGAGGTGAAACCCTGAGTAGGCACTGGCTTCTGGGGGACGAAACCTGTGCATCTGCAGCTCAGAAGGGGCCTGTGTTTGATTTAATGCTCTGAAGTTACTGTCTTGAAATTCTAAATAATTTTTACAAAGGGTCACACTTTAATTTTATATGAGCCCTGCAAATTTTATAGCTGGTCCTGCCTGGCAGGTGCCCTAAGCTAAGAGTCCTAAATCCAACTCAGCTAGAGTTCATAGAGTAGAATAAGCACATGCATATTTAAAGAACAATTCAAGGCCAGGGAAAGAATCATCCAAAAGGATTAGGGGTAATAGTACCTGTCATGGACACGGGCTGGGAATAGTGCTGTTCCCAAAGGTCAGATCCAGAAAACTCGTAATTCAGAGGCAATGGGTAAAATACTCAAGAAGATCTTGCCTCATAAGTGCGGGTCGCGACCCACAGGTTGAGAACCGCTGCTAAGCCTTGGTCAAAAATCTATTTTTATGCAATGTCCAACATTCCAGATTTACCTAATTAGTTTCCTCATGATTAAATTTAGCAGAAAGAGGAAGGACCTTTGGAAGGGTTAAGTCATGAGGGTGGAGCCTTCATAAGTTGTATCAGTGCTTAGCCCTTCCATCATGTGAGGAAACATAGAATGAGAAGTCTAAGATCTGGAAAAGAGACCTTACTCAACCATACGTGCATCCTGATCTTGGACTTCCAGCCTCCAGAACTGTGAGAAATAAATTTCTGTTGTTTATAAGCCATCCAGTCTGTGGTATTTTGTTACATAGTAACCTGAAAGGACTAAGCTAGGAACCAACCCAAAACTAACACAGATGTTAGATTTAGCAGATAACATTATAAGAACAACATGGCCGAATTTGTAGGCTACTACTAATAAATCAGTACTTAGGTAGAAATTTATAATATTAAACATCTTAATAGAAAATATCTTAAATCAATAAACCCAGCTGTATCCAATTAATGGTATCCTTCCTCCTTTGTTTTTCTTCCACCTTAAGAAACTAGAACCTGAAGAACAAATTAAAACTCAGACTGCAGAAAGAAGGAAATGATAAAAAGCATAGTGAAAAAATGTTTTAAATGGAAATCAAAAACAAGAGAGATAAGAAATGAAACCAAAAGTTGGTTGGTTCTTTGAGACAATCAATAAAACTGATTAAAACAAACAAAAAACAACAACAACAACAAATGTCTAGCCAGGATAAGGAAAAAAGAGAGAGAGCAAGAGAAGATACCAATTACCTGTATAAGAAAGAAGTGTCGTCACTATAGTTTTAGAGTATTTAAAAAAACAGAATATTGTGAACTACTCTAAACTATAAATACGACAAGTAGCATAAAATAAACAAAATTACTGAAAAGACAAGCCACCGAGGCTCACCCAAAAAATTAATCTGAATAGGCCTTTATCTTTATTAAAAGTAGTCACCATCCCACAAAGAAAACTCCAGGCATAGATGGCTCCATTGATGAACTCTACCAAACATTTAAGGAAGAAATAATACCACCAAAACAATTCTTACAGACAACTGAAGTGGAGCTTAATCTCATTCCATGTGGTCAGAATTTACTGTGATAATAAAACCAGACAAAACATTGTTAAGATAAGAAAACTACGGACTAATACCCATGATAAATATAGATGTAAAAATTCTTAATACAATCTTATCAAATTGAATCCACATTATCTATTAAAAGGATAATGCATCATGAAGCAGGGCTTATCTAAAAAATGCAGGACTAGTTCAGCATTTGAAAACCAATTAGTATAATCAATTCACTAGATTAACAAACTAAGAGAAAAGCCATATGATCATCTCAACAGACACAGAAAAAGCATTTTATAAAATCCAACATTCATTCTTTTTTTTCTTTGCTAATCCTCACCCAAGGATATTTTTTCCATTGATTTTTAGAGAGTGAAGGGAGGGAGGAAGAGGGAGAAGAAGAGGGGAAGGAGGAGGGGAACAAGGAAGGGGGGAGGGAAGTGGGGGAGGAGGGTTTCACAGATATATACATATCTCAAACATACCTCAATAATGCTTTTTAAAAAATGTACAATAAACATGTTCAAATATAAGGCACATCAGCTAATTCAGATCACTATCCTGTCTCCATTAATAGTATCCTTTCTCTTTTGTTTTTCAACATTTACAACACTACCAGTAAAAGCACTTCTCAAGTTAGAATAATGTCCATCAAATTCTCCCTCAAGTTCCTGCATTACAACTAAAAGTGTTTTTATACTTAATGAAATGTTTTAGTGAACCTTTCCACCAAACCGATCTTCCTATAGCCTATTTATCTCAGTTGTGGATTAAACTGAGCTATGCACAGAGGAAGGTTGCTTTGGGTGAAACCCTATTTATGAAAAGGCTAAATTAGCCTCTACTTCACACTGCTTAAGAACCACTTTTCTAATTCAGAGAATGAACTTGAGTGAAAAAATTATTTTTCGTCATTATTTATAGTAACTTTACAAAAATAGATTTCTTGCTGCTATAGTACAATCAAGGAAATTGAGGCAGCTTAGAATGAAGCAGATGGAAATGTGAGGAGATAGCTCACCACCAGTTCATGGCTAACTGGCTAGTTTCTTGAGACAATTATGCCTTACTTCATGCAATATATAATCAAAAATTATTTTTTTGTACACAGAATCTATTTCCCCATTAACAAAGTTTTGTTTCTAATTGACCTTCAATTGATGGCTTGAATAACTTAAGGTTGATGAGAAACTTTAGAGATGCTAGAGTAACCTATTAAGACTACCTTAAAAAGCAAGAATCCTATCTAATAAAGTGGGAATATGCTAATTGACCCTCACAACACTGCAAGGATGGCAGCGCCCACAGCCAATAAGGAGGGAATATGCTAACTGACTGCCCTGCCCTCAAAGATGGCAGCACCCACAGCCAATAAGGAGGGAATATGCTAATTGACTGCCATGCCCTTAAAGATGGCAGCGCCAATACAAGATGGCAGCACCCTGTCTCCTCAGCCCTGCCAGGGTGGCAGGCACGTGGCAAGGCTGGGGGCCTGCACCCAGGGCCACCCAAAGCTCAAGTAACCAGGGTCGGCCGAGGATTGCGCTGCCAGCAATGGCAGTAGCAGAGGTGTTATGGGGCATCGCCATCCCGATTGCTGGGTCGCCTCCCACCCCTAAGGGCTCTGGGACTGTGAGAGGGACCAGGCCCCTGCCAGGGTGGCAGGCACGTGGCAAGGCTGGGGGCCTGCACCCAGGGCCACCCAAAGCTCAAGTAACCAGGGTCGGCCGAGGCTTGCGCTGCCAGCAGTGGCAGTAGCAGAGGTGTTATGGGGCATTGCCATCCCGATTGCCGGGTCGCCTCCCACCCCTAAGGGCTCCGGGACTGTGAGAGGGACCAGGCTGGGCCGAGAGACCCCCTCCCCTCCAGTGCATGAATTTTCATGTACCGGGCCTCTAGTACTTTCATAACATGAAATATTACTCCCAGATTTACCTACATATGAATTTTATAAAGGAAAGAATACCTGTAGGCAAAAATTTTTCAAATAAAATAAATAAGTAATAAAGATAAAGGTGACAGGTACAGGAAGTAGCCAAAAAAAGATTTGTTGTGAAAAGGCAATAGCTGCTATTTCCACTTCCAAGTCCAGTAGTTTTGAGATATTAGGCAATAAAACTCTCAGGTCACTAAAACTGTCTCTCTGAGCTAGAGAACTAATCTAACCTATAACACAATACGCTGACTACTGCATGCTCATCTAAGACTTAGTAAATGCTTTACTAAATAGATCAGAAAGAACATTTCAAAACCTCCTTAATGTAAAAACTGAGAGTAGAAGATGGCCCTTATTTATTTTATGGAAAAATCAAGAGTAACTCCAAGCAGTGGTTAGGTCTTCAGCTTCAAGAAAATCCTAATGGGATCACTTTCTTTCAGAACCTCTAGCTTAGGTACTCAATGTAATGATTCAAAACTGTGCTGTCTAGTACAAAGTACATCAGCATAGAACTGTGCTGTCACATCACATGTGGCTATTTAGATTAAAATGAATTGGAAAATTCAGTTCCTCAGTCACATAAGTCACATTTCAAGTGCTCAATAACCACAAGTGGCCGGTAGCCACCATACTGGACAGCACAGATAACAAGACATTTCCACCAACACAGAAATTTTTATTGGACAGTGCTGCTCCAGAATGACCAGTTTAGAGTAAGATAATGTCTCTTTTTCACAAACTTTTTTACTCTTTTAGATATTTTCATAAATGATGTTTCATTTTGGTAAAAATATTTTCACTGAAGAAATACAATTTTATGAGTCCATGCTTTTGGAAGTCCATCCATGGAATAAAATTAGCTTTAGACACCACCATCCTAGAAAGCAGCACAGAATTTTTTTTTTAATCCTATAAAGTTTCCTTTACGTTGGATGTATTTAACTACCTGAAAAGTGCCATTGGTAATTAGCACTCAAAATTGTTCTGCCCCCCTTTGGGACATTTGAAGGCTGAAGAGAAGAAAATCATAACAACCTTACCAAATCAACAACTCAGAAACTGAGAAAAAAATAGTTAAACAATTAAAAGCCATGGATATAGTGATAGAAGATCTAATGACTTTTACAAATGAATTTGGGGGCTTGAAAGGCCAACAAAACTCAGTAAGTGCAAAGGTTTTTCAAAATAAACTATCACAATAGTTAAACAATTAAAAGCCATGGATATAGTGATAGGTTTTTCAAAATAAACTATCATTTTATTAATGGATATAAATGATGGTAAACTGCATGAGCAATTCAGGTCCATTTTCATTTAAGTGGTATCTTTACTGAAGCCACATATTATTGACTTCATAGTATCTGTCTTCCAGTTGACTACTAACAAAACTACTCTAATCCCAGTTTGCAGGCAATAGTGGAAATGAATGTTATTTATCATTCACCTACCTCTTTCACTTGTCAAGATAAAATCTTTCCCAATGTCATATAATTTAATCAGCCAAAAACCTTACAAAGGGAAGGGAAGGCATAAAGTATACCATCTGGTCCCAATTATCTACACTAATAAAAGAGAAACATGGTAATTGGCGTACGACCGCTACCCTTTTCATTGGCTAATCAGTGAGTATATGCAAATTAACTGTCAGCCAAGATGGCGGCCGGCAGCCAGGCACTGAAGCGAGCACGAGGCTTGCTTGCTGCAGATTCCAACGTTCTCCGCCTAACTTGCCAGCCTCTCAGTTGCAACTCTAAGCAACTATATACTATGTTGCAAATAAGAAGCTAAACAAAACCCCAGAAAAGGGCTTCCATTCAGCCGGGCTCAGACCGCAACATTGTATCTATGTTTTCAGCAGCGAGGCCTCAGAGCTAAAGCTGGCCCAGAAAAAAAAAAAAAAAAGAAAAGAAAACAAGGAGCGGTTGGAAGCTTTAGTCACTCGCCAGCCGGAAAACAGCCCTCAGCCCCTCACCCAGACTGGCCAGGCACCCCAGTGGGGACCCCCACCCTGATCCAGGACACCCTTCAGGGCAAACCAGCCAGCCCCTACCCATGCACCAGGCCTCTATCCTATATAGTAAAAGGGTAATAGGCCTCCCAGCACCGGGATCAGCGGAGCAGCGAGGCTCCCGGCACCGGGATCAGCGTGACAGGGGGCAGCGTCCAAACCCCCTGATCGCCCTGCGGCTCTGTGTGATACAGGGGGCTGCGCCCAAACCAGTGGGGTCCCTCAGCCTGGCCTGTGACCTCTCGCAATCCAGGACCCCTCGGGGGATGTCGGGGAGCTGGTTTCGGCCCAATCCTGCAGGCCAGGCCAATGGACCCCACTGGTGCACGAATTCGTGCATCGGGCCTCTAGTCAATCTTACCTAATAATAAACATGTAAATTGACCATCCCTCCGCTACACTCACCAGCCAATCAGGAGAGTATGCAAATTAACCCAACAAAGATGGCGGTTAATTTGCATACATAGGCGAGAAGCAGCGGAGCGAAGACCGAAGGCTCCTGCCGGAGCAGCGAAGACCGAAGGCTCCAACCAGAGCAGCGAAGACCAAAGGCTCCGACCGGAGCAGCGAAGACCGAAGGCTCCGGCCGAAGCGAGTACACTCACCAGCCAATCAGGAGAGTATGCAAATTAACCCAACAAAGATGGCGGTTAATTTGCATACATAGGCGAGAAGCAGCGGAGCGAAGACCGAAGGCTCCTGCCGGAGCAGCGAAGACCGAAGGCTCCAACCAGAGCAGCGAAGACCAAAGGCTCCGACCGGAGCAGCGAAGACCGAAGGCTCCGGCCGAAGCGAGGGCCTGGGTCAGCGAAGACCGAAGGCTCCAACCAGAGCAGCGAAGACTGAAGATTCCGGACGAAGCAAGGGCCTGGGTCCTGGGTGCCGGAGGAAAACTGGTGCCGGCAGCCAGGGGAAGGGAAGGCCTATTGCACAAATCTCTTCGTGCAACAGGCCTCTAGTATACTATAAGAAAATCCCATTCAAATAAAATAACAGCCATTGTGACACTAAGAATTATCCTTTGGTGTTTCAAATTATACTTTGATAAGCTCTAACTCTTTATAGATCTTCAAATGAACATCCTCACAATTACACATATCTGCAAAGGTCTAAAAAAGGCTAGGCAGCCATATCTGTTATTCTAACAACATATTTAATGTGCAGCAGACATCTAAGGAGGTATTTTCATCAACAGAAGAATCATTAATTATTTCTGAAGCCCCTACAGAAGAAAATATAGACTTGGAATGGCTGACAAAACAAAAAGACTGGTTTGATGAACTGATGCTCTAAGAGAGGGGTTTATGTGCTGAATCATTTCGTGTGGGTCCTCTTTGTAAACCTGGAAGAGCAGCTGGTGCCTAAGTCACTGTAAGGGGAAAAAAAAAGTACTGCATGGAGGTGTAATAGCAGGGTCTTACGAACTTAGTAAATTGCTAACAGGTTAAAAAATGAGGGTGGTTGTTTAACCTATAGGAAGAAAGCAAAAGAAAACTCAATGCACGCAACTAACTTTGGCCTTTCATTTTTTTCCTTCCCTCCTATGTATCCAAAAATCATTTGGGGAAGCTACTATTGAATAAGAACAAGTACTATCAGCTAAAGAAATCTGATACAAATGCAATATGAAACCATCATTTCTACTATTAAGCCGGGGGGGTGGGGGGAGGAAATAATGCAAATATGAAAAGCAAATATTGTTGATTCAGAAAAATCCTTAAGTAAATTTTAAAAAGTGTGAAGCTGCTGACTAGAATGAATCAAAAGTAGATTTAGTCATTTTATTAGAACTTTGCAACATGAGGAAATGTACCCAAAAACTTCATCAAGCCATCAACAACAAATTTAGAATGTGTTCATCATGTTACTCAGAAGGCAGTCGAATCAGCAAGTATCAAAAGCAAAAAAATTAATCTCAATTAGTGAGACACCTGGTCACCCAAGGACTCATTCCCTCATGCAGATACAAAGAATAGCATCTTTTTTATTTATAAGTGCTTGAGTGTATACAAACATAGGGCTGTGAATTGATTACAAAAATTAATGGCTAGGACACTGATGGCTTAGAAAAAAAAGTCACATAACTAGATTTCAGCAATAACCAGGCCTACAAAAGTATCTGCTTTATGCAAAGTATTTGATAGTGAGAAGGCTCTAAAATTTATACTCATATGAAAGCTAAAAAATATTCCTGATGCAGACTTGATGACATCATTCAGATCTCTGTTTAAAAAAAAAAATGTTATTGAAATCACAAACCACATCACCAATCTAATTTTTCAATGTGAATCATCACAGAAAAACTGAGAAGGAATGAATGAGAGCTCTAAACTAAGTCATATTTAGTCTTTTTTTTAAAATATATTTTTATTGATTTCAGCGAGAAAGGGAGAGGGAGAAAGAGATAGAAACATCAATGATGAGAGAGAATCATTGATTGGCTGCCTCCTGCACACCTCCTACTGGGAATTGAGCCCGAAACCTTGGCATGTGTCCTTGACCGGAATCAAACGCCAGGACCCTTTAGTCCGAAGGCTGACCCTCTATCCACTGAGCCAAACTAGCTAGGGCTAGTCTTTTTTTTAATCACTCAGAGCTTCCATGCCAACTACCCTGATATTTGAGTCAAATCTTGGACCTTTTGGGTCATTGTCCTCAGTGCTGGGGTACTACGTAATTCTTGCCACAGAACCAAATTTGGTCATTACCCAGTCATTAGAATGGGCTCTCCTAGCATCTCGGTACAACAAAAGAAATTGGCTGGAACTTTAGCATGCAAAAATTGTTTTGCTTTTAATTTTTACTTAATTCCAAACTTTAAAAAACTGCAATAGTACAAAGAACTGCCATATACTCAGATCCATCAACTGCTCACATTTTCTGACATGGAAAATGTGACATTTCTGATCTCTGACCTGTATGTTTTTTTCCTTCTGAAAATGATTTTATATTCTAACAAGTCCTCTCATTTCTCCCACTTTAAAGATACTAAATCAAGTGAATAAACACAAGGAGATTTGGTTGTTTCCTAAGGATAAACACTGAGCAAGGTTCTCATCAAAGGACTAGATATTCAGGGAGTAAGTAACTCCCAAATTACTATATTCAGGTAGGGGTGGAACGAAAAAAAAATTATGAATCAATCAGTGTAAATTTCAGTTACTACTTGACCAATTCCCCTCCATATCTTAAATTCTTATGAGTAATTCATTACTCTGACCACTATTGTATATCTGATTCAACAATATACCTTTCCCTTGCTTAAAAAATAACCAAAATTCTGAATAGCATATAGTTTATATAACTGCACTAAATGACACCTTTAAGAATTTTAGAGGTTGGATTTCATGATATCTTCAAATTACTAGATACAGTCTGGGGTGTTTCAAAGACAGGGTTAAAATAAGTTTTATTATCAGTTTGGTCTAATGAGAGAAAAAAAACGAGAAAGTGTGATCCTCGGAATCAGCGTGCTCTAGAACAGCCACCTTACTCACTTTCTGTTCCCATTCTCACTGTTAAGAGATTTAAAACCTCCCTTTCAGTACCTGCTAGCCATCTTTACTGCTTCTTTTCCGTGTGGAACAGACCAAATATAATATAACTTTCACCCCACCCCTATATTAACAGCCAGCTTCATGCCTCCAACTTATCCTCTGTCGCACCGCTCCTTCAGCCTTCCAGGGAGGAGTCTCTGCATCTAGTCTGCCCCAAAACAAGTCTCCACCCTGATCTGCTTGCTGAATGCATAATATCTTGCCAATGGTTAGGCCTAGCAATTAGTCTCTTCGGAGAAGATTCAATTTTTTTTCTGTTCTAAGCCCTCTTGCCCACCCAGGAACCTACTTCATTCTACATCCTCTGAATAACAGTAAAACTTCCCCAGTAAAACTCGTTTTTCTTTTCAATCCCTAATGAGACTTCTAGAGACAACCTAATAAGCCCCAATTTCTTGTCAAAGGAATAATTCCAGTTCTGTAATAATTTGCAGAATACAAACTACTGACCCAGAGTGACCCTAGAAAATGGTATTTTTCAGCTCTAATGTTCAATTCTTCCCACTTAGATTATTTTTAGTAGGTGGTCTCCTACAAGTAGGACCATGATTTTAGAGAACTCAATGTTGCATTTTATATATAGTAGCAAAAACACAAAAATAAGACTGAGGTCATTATGAAAATTCATTTGAGAACCCAAACTGAGGTATCCTCCACTGGGAGAGGTATCGTACAATGGTATTCTTAGACTGCGAGAGGGAAAGTGGGAAAGTGTCTAGAATGGGGAGTCAGAGCCCAAGAAGGAAAGCAGGGCATCCATGCAGAGGAGGCAGGAGTGACAGAGATGGAAGATTGGTAACACGGATGGGGACTGATCACTTAGTAAATGTATTAAGAACAACTGAAGTCAAGTTTCTCAGTGTAAGAGAGGGGCATTAAAATAAAAAAGAAAGAAATCTAGAATCCTGTGGTAGTTAGATTGGAGTTAATATGAATTTGTGATTTTTCAATGTACTTAAAGATATAAATAAATATAGAGGTAAATCG